CCATGACCTTAAAACCTGTCTCGTCCAAAAAAAAAGCAATTTATTGCGTGTTTTGACTGTTTGGAACAACAAAGAAAATGACACAGAATACTTGTTTCAACGACTGTCACCAACTGTAGAACACAATATCTTTATTGACAACCCTGGTTAGGCCACACAAAAAAGTCTCCGGTTTCTGGTATGGAGCTTGCCCAAAAAGTGGTGCGGCGACGCGGCTTTTTTGTTTTGTTTACCTGGTGTTTTTTGCTTCAAATGTCGGCTGATGACTGCAAATGGTGCCCGACTAAACTTAGTGCAAATATATGGAAGTCCAGAGAGGCCACATAAAGCTTATTCTCGATCATAACCCCATCTAAAAACACGTTAAAATTGTGCAGCAGCAGGATACCAGTCAAACCAATGAGTTTGGCGGTTTTGAGACATCATCTTTTATTGAAAAAAACTCTTTCATTTTGCCGACGCGCATGGCTACGGCGAACGCGCGCATACCAGAAACCGGAGACCTTTTTTTTTGGCCTTAAGCAGACAATATGATTTATAAAATGTATTTTTTTAAAAGTCCGCTCTTCAAAAGGACTTTGTTGAATATGTTTAATGTTTAAACTGAGGTTTTATCGCTGTTGATGTTTGAAGACAATTGTGACGACGATTCTTGAAATTGCATTTTTTTGGACGAGACAGCTTCTAGGGTTCTTGTGTCTAAATGGTGACATTTTTTGAACGGATTTACCAAATTCAGTCATTTTATCATCTAAAAGTAGCTTATGAAATTGGCTTTCCAGTCAATATTATTTGTGGCGCTACATATTTTTTTAAATGTGAAATATAATTTTGGGGGTTTGGTTGCCGCTTTTTTTTTAACTCACCCTGTATGTCCGAATAGAAATGTACTGCCATACTTCTAGGCCTCTCCTAATAAGTTAATAGTTGCCTCGAATTTCTTGAACATCATCGATGGGAATTGTTCCAATGTAATTCTCGACCAAATTCCGTTTAACCGACTAAATCATTAAAACTGCGCATTAACCAGTGGCGTTACTGAAGAGAGCTAGGGAGAGGGAATGGGGCAGACCCCCCCCCCCCCGGCCAGGCCTGTGCCTTTTCCTTGTGTTCCAATCACATCCCGCTCAGAATTTTGCGGAAGCAAAAATGAGCCACTGAGTGTCCACCCACAGAAAATGAGACCCCAATCCTCCCCCCCCCCTCACAATTTTCCCCCACACCCTCCCCGGCAAATTGGACCCCAGTTACTCCACTGACCCAACATCCCCCGCCGCTAAAAAACAAACAAACACGTTTCTGTAAAGGCGTACGTGTTTGGCGTGGTTTCCAAGGCTTTGCGTGAAATCGCCAAGACTCGCTCCTTCCTCCCTTGGTTCAACTCTTCCACTCGCTTGTTGTAGGCCGGTTCTTTCTCAATGATCTTATCCGCAACCGGCTGTTGCAGGGTGCGCTCGGCAAGGGCCGCCAGCTCGCGATGTTGGAGCCCCAGTACAGCCGTGACTGAGCCCATAACCGCTCCTTCTAGTCCTTGATGTCTTGTTTGAGCCGAGAGGCAAATACTTTTTAGCAAGATTCGTGGTTCGTTCCTACCCAACCTGAGCCCCACCCTCTACCCCACCCCAGTCATCAAGGCGTTGGTGACCGCTTATCCGTTGAAAGAAACACAGGCGTCAAAGAGCAACTTTACGTGCAATGTGCAATTTTTATATGTGTGCATATCCAAGTCAAATGAGAGGTCACCATACCGGCGCGCGGGACATTAGATGTGGCGGTGGCAACGAACAAGTTAACAATAATGACATGTATTATAAGGAGAAAACTTTCCATGACCCACCTGGGTATTGCCGCCAACCGAATTTAATACAAAAAGCTTAAGACATCAGAAAAATTATACGAAAAATTGTAGTAAAAAGCCGCATCCTCTCTGAGTGATCCCCGTTTGCTATTTTCCGGGTTTGCAGCATTCGTGACTCAGGCGTTTATCCCTGACTTTATGGCTTCTGACTTTGACAGAATAGGGAGCCGCCAACACAGGGTAGGGCTGGATAGCTCAGTAGGTAGAGCTGCGCAACGGAATTTGGCAGTCCGGCAGGTTCAAACCCCGCTCTATTCAATTTCTTTGTTCAACTTTTAAAAGTTACAATGTCAGAAAGTTGAAAATCATGGCCACGCTCTAATATGAACTTTAATAACAGGTCGTGCCTTTCGTAGTTTTTCGGCAGCTGCCCGCCTTCCTTAATTTCTTCAATTTGTCTGCTCCCGTCTGTTCCGACTCTGAGTGTTGCTTCTTGACCAGAATAGCCAGACGTGCCAGCGGGCGGGATGGGATCTGCGTGGCCGGCGCGCCCCGGGCTTGGCCGGGTCAGCCAGCGCCACGGTGAATGAGACGGCACCGGACGCAGATCGAGGCACGCCAGTCCAAGATGCCAGTCGCTCTCAATTCGCGGAGAATAATCTGCCTGGATTTGGCTTCGCTTTATAATGAGTCAATAAATCACGTTATTTTTGTTTTAAAAAAAATCATTTAGGCTTTATGGGTATGATTTTGTTTTCCCATTCCAGCTACGTTGGGGGAGGGGACGCCCCTTATGAAAAATCGTCGCCCCCCCCCCCCCCCCAGGGAGCTGAGATGAACTTAAACCACGGGCAGGGCCAGGGGGTAACGCCCTCTACGTTGAAATTGATCTCATTTCCCCCTCGCGACGTGGGCAGTTCGAAGCTCCGTCGTTAACGCACGTAGGTCCGTGCACATGTATTTACACGGAACCGGGTGCTCGCGAGGGGTCACGTACGTATACATCAGCATCTGGTGCGCGTGCCGGTGCAGCGCTGATCAAATGGCAGAAACCATTTTCTCAAACAAACCCTGGAAAAAACTGTCAAAAATCTAGAGGATGTACGGAGCGATTTTTGTGAAACTTCCAGGAACAAAAGATCAATCCTTAAAACTTACGATCAGAGAAAAAAATCAGAGGATGAACGATACAATTTTTCAAATTATGTCGATATTTGTACCCGTTTCAGGGGAGACATTCTGTAATGAATTTCCCACCTAGACACATTCAAAGCAGTTAAGCACGTTGATCCTGGCATTAATCAATCACAAATGTTCGCTAATGTTTTTACGCATTTTTATATAAATTAAGCAATCGTATCAATTGGAATTACTCGTTGAACCTATGCTGTCATGTTTTCAATGCTGATAGAGAGAGCATTTCAACATTAAAAATGGTTTCCTTTTTTTTTAAACAACGCTCACCTCTTTTAAAAATGGAATGTATCCAAAGAGAATAGTCCGCGATTTTTTGGTCTGGAACCCAGACCCCTTCCGCCCCCCCCCCCCCCCCGGGGCAGGGCGTACATCCTGCGGGGGTAGGGGGATATATCCCCCCTTTTTGACCAGGAGGATTTGCCATTGGAGCATTCCCTGCGTTCTTGAAGATACACTTGTCGATGTCAGATAGGCTGATGGATGTTGCTTGGAAGGCTCAGTCAATGTCTTTTTCAAATCTGAAACCTGAAAAAGGAATAGAAAAGGAAATGCTTCATATTGATGAGAAAATATATTTATATTATGACTAACAAACACTCCCCCCACAACAAAAAGAACAGCAGAAAAAATTAAATAAGTAAAATAATTCAGGGATTCAGGGATACCACAAAAAGTGGGTCCACAAATTCACGGCGTGGGGTTCGGGCCCGCTTAATTAAGGGCCCCGAAAAACAAAATGGGTTCTAGATGCTCTGTGGTGCGATCTGAGGCAATTTCTGACTACTTTTTTTTTTTTAGGGGAAAAAAATGGGTTTCTTTTTTTGTTGGGGGAGGGGAGGCATGGCCCCGTTGCTCCCCTCCCCTTGCACCCGCCCTTGGGCCTTCGGCACACCGCACATGCACACCCTCCGCCCCCGGTAGTAACCTCTCTGGGTCCGCCCATTAATTATTTTATTCGCGTGAGGAGGAGCACTATTAAAGGACAGTTTCCGATGAGGTGCGCACAAAATTTAATGTTGCGAGCGGGGCACTAATCATGGTGCTTTCGAGGGACAGTTTTAAATCTCGAGAAATTATCGTAAGAGGAGCACTAATGTTTTTAATGGCCAATTTTCTATCTCGAGAAGGGCACAATGTTGTTATTGTGAGAGGGGTATTTGTGCTTTCGAGGGGTAGTTTTTCATCTCGAGAAGGTGCACAATCTTGTTAATTCGAGGGCAATGTCCCCTGCCAGAGAGGAGACAATTTTATTTCAAGACGGCAGTTTTGTTTTCATCTCTGGGGGACACATTAATAACCGCGAGACTTCAAGTTGTCGGCCTGGGAAAATCTGGGGGGGGGGGCTGTTCCGCCGCCTCTATGGCTAATCTTACAACTTTTATACAATTAAAATAATCATGTGTATACAATTTAGAAGAAATGAAAACATGACTGAGATGAATGTGGTGAGGTTTTAGTTATTGACTTTGATGCAAAGAATGCAGAGGAAGCATGTGGATTAGTTATATGGTGAATTGTGCCAAATTACCACGATCCGTTCGTGATAGTTGAGTCATGCCATATCTTATTATTAACAAAAAGCTAAGAAGCTAATATCACCACTCCATTAAAAACACATCTTTTGTAGAATGAGTAAAACGCCTGTTTGAACTCCTAATGAAATTGTATCATGGGTCAAAGGGGCTGTATTGTGCCAAATTTTGGGACCCAATATAGGCCCTAGTCCGATATTTTGCTGTATTGAAAGGGTTTCTAATAATAAAAAAAAGTCGCATGAGAAAATTTGAATAGTATGTTATGTTAGTTGTTAGCCTTTTCTTAGGAATAAATACTAAATGAACCCCCCCCCTTTTCCGGAAAACCACGCCCCTCTTGAATCTTCACTGGCTCCCGGTACTTCTGAATCGACAGCATCCTGGCCTACATCGATGAGTTTATTTCATAAACAAATGATGTTTACAACAATAAGTGACGTCTGGGTTCGAAACAAATAATTTTGTACGCGATAACATATGCGCCCGGTTACCATTTCTGAAAGTTGCACTTGGTTGGAGTTTGAAGTTTTTACACGTTGGCGATTGACATAAAATGGTTTAATGCTTTTATTAAGATAAAATGTGGTCATTTTTCTCAAGAGATCCAGCAAGCAGCTTCCCTTATGAGATCGGGGAAAAAATCGAAGGACTTGAAGATAAGTCTGTATGGAGTGTGCACCACGGGAAGAAAAAGGTTAGAGTTCTTGGTTGCCCATATTCCGGACAAGTACACGTCAGACGTTAATTTAATCGAAGTGGCTATCGTTACGGCAGCCGTTGTTTAGCGCCCTCTTCGATACTTTTTTGATACGCACGCAGGTATATAATTATTTGTTTCCCCGCGTTTTAGCAAGCAGTGCGACAGCTCAGTCGATAGAAGGTAGGATTTTGCATCGCGAGGTTGCGGGTTTGCATTTCGGTTTTCATGGTTTTGCACTCGAATTTTTTTCCTTTTCTAACCTGAGGCTTTGGAGGATTTTTTTAAAAGGGAAATAAAGTCCGAATTTCATAACGTTCAAATTTAACATTTTTCCTTCTAATTTTATATATTCTTCTTTTATATGTTTTTATTAAAGTTGAATACTAGTATTAGGCCACGAGAATGAAAGTTATAGATTTGCGTCCACCGCCCGCATGCCTGAAAAGCTACCGCACGAACATTTTCATTATTTCAAAAAATTTCATTATTACAAAAAATTTCATTATTACAAAAAATTTCATTATAAAAAAATATAAACTTTCCAAATCGCGCACAGCGGAAAGACGATCTATTTATCACGTAAATGCAGCTATGAAAACAGTATCATCGCTTTGCCAGTGTCGCGGCGTCGTCGGGGTCACAGGTCAAATCGCTCCAACCGCACCGACCAATGGGTACTCCTAGAACTATGATGCTCCGCGTGAGCGGAGCATCATGCGGAGCATCATAGTTCTAGGAGTAACCAATGGGCACATCGGATTCTCGCAATGTCTCCACACGCACGCGTGCGCGTGCGTTGATACCATGCATTGTTCTCGTCTGGATGACGGTGATACCTACCCGCAATGCGAGGACTGCCTTGAGCCGCAGATACAGAAGAGGCATTAGGCCTAGTCACGAAATCAGTGATATGGTACCACGATCTACATGAGGCTCTGAGCTGTTTCATTTGTTGACATTCCTGGATAATTCATTTTTAGATTCACATTTTTTCTTTAAAAAAAACCTGTGTGTAAACACCTGTTCACATAGTACAATATACTATAGGCCTACTATGGTTGTGTAAATATACTACATTACATGGGTGCAGCATGGGTGTATCATCAATATACATATAGTATATGGGTATATGTGAAAACTCTGGCTATGCCGCTGCTTGTATTATGTAAAACACCATGGTCAATAAAAAATAATGAATAATGAATAATGAAAAAAGCCTCGTGTGTTTTCAAAAAAGTCCGGACACAAATCTATAACTTTCATTCTCGTGGCCTTACTACCGTAACAATAGAAAATGGGAAATGCGTTACGGCTGCCGTAACGATAGCCACTGCGTAATTTAATATTAATAATATTCAAGTTCAACCTTACTCCTTAGCCTGTTGCAGGCCAGTATATGAAAAAAATGTTGCAACCTGACGCCACTTTTTTTTTCATATATCATCTCTAGCTTGAGTAACTCCAGCTCTAATGGCTATAGCATTAGAGCTGGAGTCACAACTACGTTAAAAGTACCGGGTCGTAAGAGTCCCGAAATCCCGGACTCTGTATCCCCAGTGCATTACAAAAACGGTCCATTTTCCCTATATTATCCCGATTCAGATTCAATAATTCATACCTCGTACGATGCAACAGACATTCACGAAGCTAGTAATCAACTTCAAACAGAGCAATGAAGACTAAAATATGAAATTTTTCGATGAGTTTGGTGGCGATTCTCAAGAAACCATGAGAAAACGTCGCGCGACACTATCCTGCTGACATCCGTTGACCAATAAAATAACACATTGGCAAATAAAAACATCAGATTTACCTCAAAACAGCCTCCAAATTACTAGATACGCCACTCAGGGTTGGCTGATTTAAATCACGTTGATTTAAATCACAGATTTAAATCGCGATTTAAAATCAAATGATTAATAAAAATCACTGATTTAAATCACTTTTTTGTAAAAGTCTTATTTTTGGCAAAATCAATTGATTGAGGGTCATTTTAATCATTTAAATCAACTGATTCCACTTAATGACAAAGTGTAAGATGTTGTTAACACATTCAAACACCCCTACATCATCACCATCGACTCAATTTAGGTTTTGCATAATTACACAAAAACGTTGTTTTGATTTAAGTCAAGATCTGAGTTTAAAAGTTTAAAAAGAGCACACTCACTTTTGCTTTAAAGGTAGAGTCCATCATTTGCAGCCATCCGAAAAGTAACTGGCGTAATTATTGTTGAAAAACTAACTTGGTTGAAAGATAGTAAGGAGACTAAACTCCCTGTGAAATTATTCTTTCTGGGAAGCTGTCATTTTGAAGTAATCAACGAAAGAAGGCATTTCCAACGGTGATTCTTAAGAAGCACCGTAGGAAAATTTAAATTAGTAGTTCGTTTTGTTATTCAGCGCAGCGCGCACAAGTATTCGAACGACGCACACGCGCGTGCGGTTGTTATAATTCGTCGGATCAGTGCGCGACGTCGCGTATAGTTGCAATTCAAAACATGATTCAGCAACTTTTGATTTGAAATTGAGATCTTAGAATGCTGTTTTTCTCGGAATGTACAGCTGAAGCTTAGCTGAAACTTCATCAGGTTAGTTGCTCAGTATCCTTCATTAGATTTTGAACTCTTTTGTTGCTTCAAACGAACAAAATGCACAAATTACAAATGATGGACTCTACCTTTAATCATTCCTTGATCTGTTTACAGTAATATTGTGAATTAACTGTGCTGGTTTAGGCTTATATGAACCATCATAAGGTATATTAAAAGTCCCAATTGATAGCCTAACGTTTCTCCCTACAAAATTTAGATTGAGATTTATATCAAACCTTTTAAAGCTATAGTCCATCATTTGTAATTTGTGCATTTTGTTCGTTTGAAGCAACAAAAGTGTTCAAAATCTAATGAAGGATACTGAGCAACTAACCTGATGAAGTTTCAGCTAAGCTTCAGCTGTACATTCCGAGAAAAACAACATTCTAAGATCTCAATTTCAAATCAAAAGTTACTGAATCATGTTTTGAATTGTTTTGAATTGCAGCTATACGCGACGTAGCGCACTGATCCGACGAATTATAACAACCGCGTGCGCGTGTGTGCGTTCCAATACTTGTGTGCGCTGCGCCAAATAACAAAACGAACTACTAATTTAAATTTTCCTACGGTGCTTCTTAAGAATCACCGTTGGAAATGCCTTCTTTCGTTGATTACTTCAAAATGACAGCTTCCCAGAAAAAAATAATTTCACAGGAAGTTTAGTTCCCTTACTATCTTTCAACCAAGTTTGTTTTTCAACAGTAATTACGCCAGTGACTTTTCGGATGGCTGCAAATGATGGACTATAGCTTTAAAGGTGCAAGGCCTGATTTCTGTTCTCCACCATGGACCATCAATCAAACACTATAGGTTACACAAGGATCAGTGCCGCTGGTTTTGAAATTAGAAGCATCTTAATGAAATCAACATGCCCATGGAGAACTGTCGTACATTTGTGTATATTTTTTGTATACCATGTACAGGTACCATAAATCAAGTTTTCATTCGTATCCACACACAGCGTATCTCAGCTGTATCAATCAAGCAACGAACCTTTAAATTGTCTTCAGTATTGATTAATGTACCATCGAGTCCTGAATCCTCCAATTTCAATACGATTTTGTAAACCCCCTAGGGAGTTAGGGCTAATGTACAGAAAAAATCATGTGATATTTTTAAATCACTGATTCAATACAATTTTTTTTCAAAAGCATTTATCATTTTATTGAGTTTTGTGGATGATGGGTATTATAGGAACCTGTAAACTTCTTTGTGATGGGTGTGAGGGTGCATGGGGAGATTTAGACACATGTTTAGACGTATCAATATTTTGAAAGTTAAAAAAAATAAAAAAAATCTGATTTAAATCCAAAAAATCTGATTTAAATCAAATAAATCCGATTTTTTTGATTTTTAAAAAAAAATCAAAAAAATCGCCAACCCTGCCTGAGGTACAAGGAGAGATAGATGATTAAAATCGAGGTACTAAAGTTTGCTTACGAGTCGGATGAAAAGTGAAATTTCCCGTTCAATTCCGAGAGCTCCCCTCGCGATCGATCGTTAAATTCCGACTCGTGTTTGAACGACGCGATGTAACCGTACGTGCCCAGCGTTCATTCAGTGGTCTCAGTGCAATTCTGGTAACGAGCGTGATGCATCGAATATGATAATGAGTAGACTGGATCTCGTTTGTACAAGTGCATTTCAAACGATGATACGGAGTCAGGAACTAGCTTGAATTGGTTTTCGATGTTTCCGCTGATAGCTGCCCTAGTTCCCGACTCCGTATCACAGTTCGAATGCACTTGCCTGTACAAACGAGATCCAGTCTACCATTATCATAATAGATGCATCGCGCTCGTTACCGGAATTGCGCTGAGACCACTGAATGAACGCTGGGGACGTATGGTTACATCGCGTCTTTCAAACACGAGTCGGAAATTGAACGATCGCTCACGAGAGGAGCTCTCGGAATTGAACGGGAAATTTCACTTTTCATCCGACTCGTTAGCAAACTTTAGTACCTTGATTTTAATCATCGATCTCTCCTTGTACCTCAGGTGGCGTATCTAGTAATTTGGAGGCTGTTTTGAGGTAAATCTGATGTTTTTATTTGCCAATGTTTTGTTTTTTTGGGTCAACGGCAGTCGGCAGAATAGTGTCGCGCGACGTTTTCACATGGTTTCTTGAGAATCGCCACCAAAATCATCGCAAAATTTCATATTTTATTCTTCATTGTTCTGTTTGAAGTCGATTACTAGCTTCGTGAATGTCTATTGCATCGTATGAGGTATGAATTATTGAATCTTGGTCGGGATAATATAGGGAAAATGGACCGTTTTTGTAATGCACTGGGGATACAGAGTCCGGGATTTCGGGACTCTTACGACCCGGTACTTTTAATGTAGTTGTGACTCCAGCGCTAATGCGATAGGCATTAAAGCTGGAGTTACTCAAGCTACATCATCTCAATGAAGGTCAGTCATTGCAAAAATGATGATAAGACATGAATCTGGGAGTGACTTAGCCCCATAGGCCTAACAAGTAACATACATGTACATGTGTGTACGGTAAGTGTGGCCAATTTACTGGACTACCTCCGTAACACTCCTAGAACTACATGTACATGTATGATGCTCCGCTTGAGCGGAGCCTCATAGACACAGAACCCCACAAAATTGTTTGCAGCACAAACCACTAATTTAAGTACAAAAACGTCCATCAAAACACAGACATTTCCCGCAGAGCCACTGCACAGTTTGCCCCTGAACTCAGTAGGCCTACCTCATGACATACTCACGTAATGTGCTAGTCCGAGTAACTAGGACTCTACGGATCGCTTTTTTAACATTTGGACATGGTCGGGCGATAGTAGAGTCCTAGGTACGTGGCCGTATATGGTTACCATTAATGGTTAACGTGTTTTGACCATTTTCACTCGTACCCCCAATCAAAATCGTTATATTTCACTACAAAAACAGTCTTCAAACTGCCTTATGTGCCCCTGTAGGCTTCAGTGGGAATTTGAAATACAAATGGTGGTAGGTAATTTCACATACATGTACCTTAGAGAAGAAAAGAGAACTTTCACTTTCAATTCGGAAACCGAGCCTCGCCAAACTGCCGTGCCGGTAAAAGCCATCTTGAATGTTGTTGCGTACGATTCATTCAAATTGTGAGGTTAAACTGATGACGTACGACGCGCCAGCCAAGCGCACGCCCGCATTCACAATCGGGCACATCGTGTGTGCACGCGTACACCGGCGACTGTTTCCTGAACGGCACAGCCTGCACATGTATGCGATATGTGCTGGCTGCACGCGTTCAGGAAACAGTCGCCGTTCAGTAAAAAGTTGAAGCATACAAAACATCTTTGAAATGATTGACAGAACGGGCACCACTGGACATTAGCGCAGATTCATTGATTGCCCCCAGCACATATGAGTCATGTAATTGACCTCTCTCACAGACAGCTACCTTGCCTACGCAAATTACAAATGCTTATTCAACGCCATCAGGTACATGTACATGTACGTGTGTGCAAAAATCTTCTAAACACGCGTGCGTATTGTTTGAAAAGCATGTACGGCACAGCCAATGAGCATCATGAAAATTTGACTCCCAAAATGCCGATGCACTTGATAATCTGTAGGCAGTGATGTCATTTGAGAGGGGTCTATTGGGTTATGGGGACCACACCACCAACATTTATTGTGTTTTCTTTTAGGCGGATGGACATCCAGTGTCGATATTTGTCCTGGATGCCAAGAACAGCTCCAGTGCGGCAATCGAGCGAGGCAAGACAGCGCACAAGAGACTGAAGACCATCAGGCACCCAAATTTCCTGCAATATTTGGACGGCTTGGAGGTAATATACGTAGCATTTTTCAGGGACGTTAGAAGATTACTCTTCGTAGTTCTTCAAATGGGTCAGATCTTTTACCCTCAGCCTCAGAGACCTCATGTGGTGAAAATGGGCTGCTAGTGGAGTGCACTGTACGTAGTGCTGAGCATTTTCCAATATTTTAGTAAGTAAGTTAGACTTGATCGAATAGTCCAATTTTTGAAATGGGCCGATCAAGTTTTACATTAGCCTATTTGAGATATGGCCGACACAATAGGAGGGCGCTATTTAGTTTGGGTAAATTACAAAAATACTTTACCCAAATCAAACAGCGCCCTGTATTGTGCCATATCTATATATATAAGAGAGAGTTTAACTCGGCCTCCGAGACGATGTTTGCTCATGAAAGGATCCGAGACCGCGGGCTCCCGCGGCGCCAAAATTGCTCCACGTCCGTGGAAAAATGCGGAGGGTGTCTTCCGCAGGGTCGGACACTTCGGGTCGTCCTGATTTTCCCGTACGGACCACCCCCCAACACACACATTTTGAGGCGGGGGGCATTGTTTGGTCCCCCCCCCCCCACTTTTTCTTCCCCGAATAAAAATATTGTAGCCTGCAATAATGATTCTATTGCTCAGAATACATGTAGCTGATTCAATTACTCCAAACTCAAAACTTTAAAAGATGATCTTTTGCTCAAATTGGTTTTAGTGGTCAGAAATTGCCTCAGATCACACCACAGAAATTGCTTTTCTATAACTGCATGTCTCCCAACTATATCCCCCATTTACATTTAACTCCCCACATTTCCATCCCCAACACTACGCCCTACCTGATCTATGATCGGGTAAATCAACTTGTCTCATATACATGTAGGTTATTACCCAGCCTAAACAGCCCCGTCGCCAGCTCTGGGCATGGGGGGGGGGGGGGGGGGGGGCACATTACAAACTAGCGGGGGGGGGGGGGGGGGGGGCACACCACAAGAAAAAATATATATATAGTGTTTACGCTTAAGGTTTTTGCAGATAGGGGGGCCAGTTGCTCGTCAGGGAGGGGGGGGGGCGGCCCTCTTGGCGACGGGCCTGAACCTAAATAAGCTGCCGAACAGGATAAAACTGCGCGTACCAGACTTTGTAAACAATTGACAACGAGCTAATTAAAAATAAGATACAGAACTGTACATCATCCGTTCATATTTTTCTAAAGTACCAGAATGGTAGGTTTTGTCCGATTTCACGAAGAAATTTCAGCTAATAATCCCCACAGAAGCTCCTCAATCATGTGTGTAATAAATGGCTTTCGACAAAAGTGTGGCATTGGACTAAACATACTAAAACCACGCAACTTCCTGGACTTTTTTATCATCCCCTCAATATCGCTCCAATTTTTTTAATGTTTGAATGGAACAAATGCTGTTTGGATATTCGGTGGATGTTTAAATATTCAAATATTCTTTATTTTCATTTAATAGCACATATTTATTTAAAAGCTTGAAAAAGAATGAATCCTAACCCCTGGCCATTTTGCTAAGATGCAGCATCAATCCTGCAAAATCATCCAATAAAAAATTGCATACAGCCTACATCCTGGAAAATTCTCCAGCGATCACTGTCAACATGTTGAGGCAGAGCCAGTGACATCCTGGAGCAGTGCGGAGGATTCCAAGTATAATCTAGGCCTAAATTCATGTGTGGCTGAGCATAAACAACACAAGGTCCGGCCCAAGACCTTGACACAGTGCATCCTCCAAAATCAGCCACACATTTTTTGCCATATAGCCTCAATCCTGCAAAATCCTCCATTTTGCAAAGAGGATTTTGGAGGATTTGGGAAGGTTAGGGTTAATTCAGATGGTATCAATACATATTCATGAACTTTAGGTATCTGCCTCACCAATAAAAGTGAAAAACAAATTTGAAATGTTGATGGTTTTGTCAATTTGGCGGGGAACTGCCCATGTACTTGTGCACTGAGTCCATCATCATCTGTAATGTTCTATACATCCTTATTATCTGCAGACGGACACTATCATATACGCTGTGACGGAGCAGGTCATTCCACTACAGACTTACCTGAATGACTCCTCACCAAACGAGCAGGCCATCTCGTGGGGTCTGCACCAAGTAGTGGTAGGTCCATGCTTCAATTTGTTTCCATTATTTTTTGGTCACCAAACTATTAACTCCCTAGGCCTTTTTTTGCTAGGAAGTAGCCTCAATCCTGCAAAAATCCTCCAATTGGCCTCATGGAAAAATAGCATGTAACCTCAATCCTGCAAATTCCTCCAATTTGCAAAAAGGATTTTGGAGGATTCAGGGCGGTTAGGGTTAATAAGTCCATTAATAAGGGAATAAATGAGTGCTTCAGAGGTTTTAATCACTCTGTTAAAGACCGTTCGGAGTCTGGGTGCTGACAATTACCCGAGCCTCTTATGGAGATTGGTGCGCGCGTCGTGCGTACTGCGCGATGTCGCGCGGGATGCACCTGGGCCGCTGCATTGTGAATTTAGGACTAAAAAATATTGACTTTACTGGTAGTATTGCGCATGCCTACGTGACGATTGTGAACGTTCAACCAATAAAACGGTAAGAGGCACTGGATTTTTAGGAGTCCAAATTTCATGTGACACTGGAAAGTGTTTTAGACCAGCTAGCCATGTCTTTATCATCTGTTTAAGACCAGCCATGTGACGGGTTCTCGACCAATAGGAATGGGTAAACTGTCTTAGGTATTTATATACATGTTTGTTCATTAACTGGTAAGCTCGAAGAGAGAAGGCAGTCCAAACATTTTCAATTTGAAGGTGAAAGAAAATAACGGAGAAAGGGAAGCCACCTAACCTCTCAATAGTTTCCCAGTACTATCGTGCTCAACAGAAAACAAAACCCTACGAAAATATTTCTCAAATCCAAAGTCAATTGTGAAACTGTGTTGTATGATTTTATTACAGTGCTGTCAAAACAATAACACAACACACAGAGAACAATCCAACAATCTTATTTGTGTGAATGTGGACATTTGATAAATGAAACAAAAATCAAAACCCCATGAAAATATTTCTCAAATCCAACGTCAATTGTGAAACTCTGTTGTATGATTTTATTACAGTGCTGTCAAAACAATAGAAGCAAAAGTTGCACTTCGGTAGCTTAGGGCAAGTGAAAATGTGTTCGCTCAGACTTATTGAAAGAAAAGAAGGTGGCTCTTTTTTCCCCCTCAAGATGGAGGATTTTCCAAGACAGCGGATTTTCCAAGATGGCGGATGGATTCTTCCATTTTCTCAACTCTTTCGCTGATATTTTTGTTCAAAGGAGCCATCACCCTTTCTACCAAATAGTGACTTTGCGTACAATGCTACACTTTTGCTAAGCAAAAAAGCAAGCGGGCGGGCACAAGAAATAGGTTTTCTTTTTACTTGGTCTTACAGAAACAAGGAAAATATGAGATGGAAATGTGAAGACCTTTTTTGGTTTCAACTACAGATTTCTCAAGGTCTTACACTCCTTGTTGATGTAACACGGGAGTATAAAACTGGAGTGATCTTGTGATAGGGCAGACCACGCTTTGATGTGCTGAGCACAATGTTAACACATGGAAATACATGTGAATTCTACGATATGTACATGAACTATGGGTGATGACTACATTTTTGTTTTCCAAAACAGCTCTTCTTCATCGGCAGGGAGGGTCTGGAGTGACTTTATGAGCAGTATAGATGAAACTGAACAAATACTGCACCTCATTACAAAAATCATTGCACCAATCGGCCTCTTCTTGAACTTAGTCTTTCTCTTCACAATCATTCGAGTGAAGTCCATGCGTACGATCATCAACATCTACTTATCCAATCTGGCTGTGGCTGACTCGCTCTTCCTTATGACTGACTTGATATTTGTATTGTTTTTACCTATTACAGAGTACAACACACCGTTACTAGCACAAACAGCCATCCTAAGTGTGCGGAACACATTCCTATCAGTTTCTAATTTCTTTGTGGTTACCATAGCAGCTGAGAGATTCTCCGCAGTACGCAATCCTCTGAAATTCAAAGAAAAAGCCTCTAAATCTCGAGCAGCAAAGATATCAGCAGGACTCTGGGTGCCAACAATTATTGTTGGTGTGATTCTAGTATTCATACCAAGGCCTGTCTACACCCACATCATCTTTTGGATTCCTTCCATTGGCAACATTGTCTGTTTAATAGCAACCATTGTTTTTTACATCTATGTAGTGGTGAAAGTACGCAAGCAATCAGTCCTGTTGCCAAACCATCCCAAGCGAGCAGGCAAAGTCCTCCGAATGATTATAACCAATACTGCATTTTTCTTCATTCTGAACTCACTGGACATGGCATGTGAAATTATTGCTACAATAATGTTATATTCTTCTAGTTGTGGTCCAAAACAAAAATGTAAATTGGTGGGGGTGAATTCATCAGATCATGGAATTAGCGTCGGGATGATGTAAATTCAATACAAGGTTTTTTCCTTCACCGACGCATAAACACTGTACAGTTGTATACTTAGTGTGTTACCCCCGAGTGAAAGTGAGAAAAAAAAATCACTCGGGTGGGACTCGAACCCACGACCTCCTGCTTTCTAGTGCAGACGGCTTACCGGTATGTCTTAGAATTGCCAGAATTGGCTGGCTGGTTCGAATCTGATGTAGCATTCGGTACCGCATTGAAACTATTCATAAGATGTACATGTAACAGTATGAGGTTTTGCCCTTCACCAATGTATAGCTATTTTTTAAAGCAAAAATTACACAAGTTATTCACTTTTATTAATGAGACATTAAGCGGAAAAAAATCAACTCACGCTTACTTATGGAATAATTCCTTAACAAATTTCGAATTATTTGTGGTTCAAGAATAATTCATGTGTATCTTTTGTATGTTAACAGTGTAAAAGCAACCCCAAATAAATGTGTATTTTCATTGGGTTGAAAACATCCAAAATTGAGCTGTTAAGAGAACACAATTGAATATGCTGAAAAACACTGAAGAGAAACCTGAAGACACATACCGGTAGGCCTATAGTAAACTTTAACATTGTTTTTTATTGATAACTGTAATTTCACCCCCTGTGTTAGCCACATAGGAAGCAGCAAAGACATTGTTCAATAACTAGCCACCCATTCTCTCAGGATTAGCAGTTGTTGACTGCTTATTTTATGTAACAATTTTATGTCCCACAGACATGTACGTTTAACTCTTCCATAATTCTCACACTGCTGTGGACAGCACAGTAATAGATTGTAGGCCAGGCAACTAAGCACTGGACTTGCTACATTGCATCCCACACTGTCAGACTTTGTCGGGAATAGACCATTATCATGTTGCGGCCATCTTGATTTGTTCCCATTCAAATCAACGTAACCAAAGCGAGGCTGGAAGGAAAAATAGTCTGGTTCCTTTTTGCACAAAAAACATTATCATTCAGTACTGTTATTGGATACAGGGAACATGACTGAAATGGTGGCAGCATGATAAAGGTTTATCCTGAAAGGCCAGGTCCTATGTCATGTGTGAGTTAGAATTAAGCGTACATGTTCATGTAGCCCCCCCTTTTTGTTAAGCAGTGGTTGTTCTTCTTTTTTCCCAGATGGCTTCTATGATTTCTCTTTTTTGTTCCAATGCTCCACTAATACTATGTCCTCACTTCTGAAACTGTGACCATACATCCTCATCAGGTGGTAGAGTTAAAGGGTCCATTCATATGAAATGAATTTGTCTGAGAAACACATTTTGCGCTACTTTCTACTCTTCTTAAATGTACGAAAACTATTTGACATCCCTTTTTGGTTTATTTTATTTTCAAAAGTGCACTTCTTCAAACATTTAATTTTTTCTATGCTTTTTTGGACAACTGAGGGCGCTGTTGCCGTGCTGTCATTTCAGGGAGATACTGTTCAGTTTAAGGGTTTTGTGTACAAATGTGAACTCAAAAATCTGCTCATTGATAACATTTATGAGAAAGGTTTGATCAATGGCTTACTGCCATGTACTAACACAACAAGGAATCACCGAAGAAAAGATAATTTTCAACAGCGAAATATCCAAAATTCTGGCAACTTTTTGTGCACAAACCAATTGCAACATTGAGGTTTCTGCCTGATATGACATCACGCTTTTGCTCATGAATATGGAAATTTACATTAGCATAAAAACCAAAAAGGCACCAAAATACCCTTGAAAACGGCAAAATGAAAATTGCAAATAAGGTAAAATGGGACACAAAGGTGCATTTTCAAGAATTACATTAAAAAAATTACATTTCATGGGCCCTTTCACAAAAGGGCTGATGCCATCATCCGTGTGTGATTATCAATTAATTCCAGTCAAAATATCAGGGGGATTCTTCAGCAATTGAAACTAAAATAAAAATTTGGGGAGAAAAAAACGTTTTTTTTATGTGATGTATTTTAATGTAAAGTAATAATTTGATAACTAAACATGAGCTAATGTTGTTTGGCGATATTTTATTCAAAAGTGAATAACTTAATTGCTAAAAAAAAGGAGCAATTTGGAAAAGGAATCTATTTTTAAGGATGAAAACTCAAATAGAATTGGGAATGCAACTTAAACTCCCTCCGTAGTTTGGACTATGTTGAATTGGAATTGCCTCAAAGGGGTAGACGACAAAGAGAAAAACCACTGCAACAATTAGTCCATTGTACATGTAAATATTGTAAATGAATGAAATTAACATGAAAAATATGAATTTACTGTGGACATGGTGGAAGGGTAAATAAAAAAAAACCCTCAAATTTACAATTAAAATGAAAAAAGAATCTTAATCATTGAGTAGTTTGAAGTGATAGGCTATTCATTTAATCAGCCAGAGTCTGAACCTGGCAGCAAGAATGAAATTTTAAAAGATCTTCTTGGTCAAAAATTGTCGGTCACAATCAATTTTATCCCTAACCCTGCTAAATCCAACAGGATCCAACTATATCATAAACCTGTTGGAGTCTGTTGGATTGAGCAGTAAACCCCTTGTACAAATGTACATAGTCAGAGTCAGATTCTGTTGGGTACTGATAAATAACGTCAAGGTGGACTCTGTTGGATCCAGCAGACAACTGAAAATTAGGCACAGTTGGATTCGGTTGGATTGAGCAGGAA